TTTAGATAGGATTTATTCAGCAAAATTTTGAGGTGACGTCATCAATTTTTTAGAGGGGATAAGTAAATATATTGTGATTAAAACGGTTCTGGTTTAATAACAAAAAAATATTGTTCGTCTATGAAACAAGCTCGTCTTAGACAAAGTATTCATAAAAAAAAATATGTCGTAAAAAATGTACGTATGCTAGTCCCGACTGCGATTATGGTTTAAATATTTTTTAGATAATCCTGACATGGATGTAGAAACATTTGTGACAGCCAAAGAGGTTTTTTTGAGAAAATTATCTTTGAATTTAGACCAAATTGAAATAGACAATTGGCAAAAGGCACATTTGGGCAAAAAAAAGAGAAATTAGGGTTACGGCTTCAAATTTTGGACGTATTTACAAACTTAGACCGACTACAACAACAGCTAAAACTGTGGAGTCTCTGTTGTACAGTACATTTAGAGGTAATAATCATACATAGTATGGACAACAAAGTGAGGAAAAAGCTGTCAAATGTTTTGAAATAAATAAAAATATAAAAACTGAACGGTGTGGCTTGTTTATTTCAAAACAATTTCCTTACTTGGCTGCTAGTCCAGACAGGGTTCTAGAGGATAGGAGTGCATTAGTCGAAATTAAATGCCCTTCAAAATCGCAAGATTTGTCTCCCGAAGAAGCGCTTAGAAAAAAAAAATCAAATTTTGTACATTGACAGACAGAGAATTGAAATTAAAAAAAAAATCATGATTACTACTTTCAAGTCCAGGGACAAATGCTTGTTACGGGTATTTCACAAGTTTATTTTGTTGTGTGGACACCCAAAGCAATTAATATAGAAAAAAACGAAGACATATGTAAAAAGATGACAGATAAACTTGGCAGATTTTACTTTGGCGCATTATTGCCCGAAATAATTGATTCAAAAAGAAAGAGGAACCTGCCTTTGCGAGAGATTTTTTTAAAATAAATAAAATTTGTTTCTATTTTTTTATGTACTTTAATAATTTATTAGGAGTACATTTTTCATCACCAAGACTTGCATATTTTCATTATAAATATATTTTGAAAATCATCTCTCGGCAAATGAAAACTTCTTTTTCGAGTAAACAATGAAGGGAGAAGTTACTGGGCGTAGGGCTTTTTTAAAAGACCTCCTTTCTGGGATAAGTAGTATACACTTAGCTATATATTATACTTATACGTGTTAAACAAAAGCTATATTTTATATATTTTTTATTATTATTATAAATATGTTTATTAGTTTTATTAATTAACAAAGCAAAATATATATTAACAATAATATTACAATGAATTTTTAATAATCATGTGTATTGAATTCAGGATCGTAAGTGGAGTAAAAATATTATAGTTCTCCAGTTTTAATTCGGTTTTATGATAGTACCTCATTGCGTAAAAGTTAATTTCCCTAACAATAGATTACTAGAGCTTATTTGAAAGCAGAAGTACACAGCAATAAAAGAGCGCAGATACCAGTATTTGAAACACCATTTAGTGCGCATGAGCACTACTTTCACAGAATCAGCGGCGTCGAGAACGAACTTCCTTTACTCTTTGGACCTGTTTTGTACGTTCTTATACTAACGCGTGCAACGTGTAAACCCCAATAACAACACTAATGGTCCGCCACTGAGTCGTCCATACTCTTCGCCCATTTTCGCGCTTCGCGCATTCATCCCTCTCGCTCGATGTACTTCTGGTTTCAAATAAGCTCTACGGCCGGTCCTGGCGGCTTGTTATAAAACTGAGTTCCTTGCCATAAATTAGAAAAATCAGCCGAGAACGCTAACAATCAGCTTTTGGTAGAGCAGGCGATAAGGGTTTTACCTGGAAAGTCGCTTCCGTAAATTTTAGTGGCGCTCCTATCGGCAAAGTACTGAACTAACGGCTCAAAATTTATCGAATTGATACCCACTTTTTTCAATAATTGTTAGTTTTTGTTAAAAACTCTGCTAACCAATAGATCATTAATTTTCCTCTGATATTCCTGCTAAAATTATTCTACGTATTTTGCATTAATTTGTGGTAAGTATATTTTGATTTTAATAAACACATTATTATTTAAACAAATTGGACCACTAACAAACACTTAATGACTCTGCGGTCTGTAAAAAGTTACGTCTTATCCATGTGCGAATTTTCAAGCGATTCTATGATGGTTATGACTCAAAAAACTTGAAAAGAAAACATACAATGGTGCTTTTTTTACGATATTTCTCAGCCATATTTTTTTAATTCTCTGCGCTCTAGAATATGAAAAAAGCTGCAGTTTGATGTATGATACATCTAGATTAATATCATTTTTGCATACAAAAAACCAATAAAATGTTATACCTCGTCTAGCGAGTCCCCTTAACGACAGTTAATCGTAACGATTGCGATGCCACTGTTTTCCCAAAACGGGTAGCTAATTCTTCTTAAAATTTGTTTTATTGTTAGGATTTTAATCGTTAACTGGTTCTAACACAATTTAACAATCATAAGATTGTTCAGACAAGGCACTTGCTAGGAGATTTCATGAAATTCATTTAGTCAGGATCCTTTGTTTAACAAGTTATAAATAATTCGCACCTTGATTTTTGTCCCAAAAATTGTGACAACGTGAGTGACCAACATGGAGAACGCTTCCATCTGGGCATTTTGTCGATAGAAAAACGTTACCAAGATCGATGGAACACCTAAATGCTCGCAGAATACTGCGGGACCATCAAGCGAGAAATCTCCAATGAAATTTATCGGAGGCAACCGAAAAAACGTCGGTCTTTGCTGTTTCTTTTGTTTTTTTCGTTTTTAAACTACATTCGCTGTTTTTTTCTTAATTATGGTTGTTCTTTTGTTAATACTACACTTTTTGCCGTTAAAGATGCAAAAATTAAATTGTTTTACCTGATTTTGTGTTTCTAACATCACATATGCAAATTTTTTTTAATTGAGCTAAGTTATAAGATTTATGATCATTCTTACAAACACAGAAACAAATTAAACGAAAACAGTACAATTATGTCAAAGTTAGAGAGAAAAAATGAAATTTTGTTGACCAGTATTATAGGTAATGAGATACTTACCTCCAACTTTACCAGCTTTTCATAACGGACGACCTCTAATAAATCTATCTCAGACCGCAGCCGATAATACCTAAGCAATGGCCTGATTTCTTTAAACAAGTCACTTGATTTCAAAACCGACATAAAACCGCTCAAAAATTGTATTAATGATTGTACCAAGTTATTTTCTATGTTGTGAAAATAAGTTATACTATTGTGGTGACCAGATTTGAATTAAAATTTCGCGCTGAAAAAAAAAACAGCGGCGCGAAATCGCATTTGAATATTTTAACGTTTAGTTCTGGTAGTTGGTAGCTCTCCTAGGGAATATTCTGTTAAGAGGGTCGGTAGAAGTTGATGATGTTAGTAAAACCACGTGGTGAGTTAGGTAGGTTAAGTTTAGTTGGTTTGGTAGTAAATAAAGTGTTTTTTAACGACAATAATGACTGCGAAGCCAATTTTCTCCAACACGCGTAGCTAATTCTTGCGGCGTAAATTTGTCTTATCGTTTGTAAATTCACAGTTCATGTCAGGATTTTAATCGTTAACTGGTTCTAGCACAATTTAACAGTCAGGACTCATCCTTTGTTTATCACTTCTTAATTCCTCACACAAGATTGCTACATTTACGGCACTTAAATCAATCTAACGTTGTCCCACTCTGGGAACGTGAAAGTACGGTAGAATTCATAATAACATGGACTGAGGTACGGGGGGATTCAAAATGTCTCCTCTTAGGCAGTTAATGGTTTTAAGTGACCAGTCACTTGGATCCAGGCATCATTCAACATAATGTAAACACTTTGTTTGAATCGTTGATAAACTGTGGCATAATTTAACATCAGGTAAATTTTTTGTTCTGCCAGCGGTCACGTTGAAAGAGTGAGAATGAACAATAACGTTCTCTCCAAACAGACCTCCTGTAGTTCTGTTACTTACCTTGACAAACACTACCCTACGATTGTTCTTTTAATTTCAAACAAATAACATTAAAACAACATATGCAAACAATCTTTATTGAAAATAGAGCATAAAGGAACCCTCTTTCTGGTTGAGATTTCTTTTTACCATGCACTGCAAGTTGCAGATTACATCTACATCCAACGAAAACCAACAAATTCAATCCCTTGGGGACATGCTGTACAAAACCATTCATTATGTACATGTTAACCTGGACGGGAGAGGAATAAACTTCTACACGGTGCGTTCGGGTATCCTGTTTGGTCTTTTATTGAATCAATAATATACATAAATAAGAATAGTGTATTTAAAATAAAAATTTACATAAAAGCTACACTTTATACATAAAGTTGCAAAAGCCAGTGATTTCCTCTCGAATTTCTTTGGTAAAATAATAAATAAAAGTTGCTTTACCTCACCTCGTGATCTTCGTTTTAAAATTAAAACAAATTTTGAAATTCCAATATCTTCTATTGCACGCTTTCAACTCATTCCGGCCCTCTCCTACACAACATGCAATTAAATGAAAATTAGTAACACTGGATTTATTATATAAATTCAAGCTCTACGCATGCACTATGTATATAAATAAAAGCCAAGCCATTCGAACGTTGCTTAAATACCAAGCGAATATAAGAAAAAGTTGCTCACTTTGCTTGTTAAAGTCAAAAACGTGTAAGTATGTACAGAATGTTAGTTAAGGCAAGGTAAATCAGTGAAAACCAACCTTAAGTAGCTAATTCACGTTTGGGGAAGTAAGTAATGTGCACAGAAAAACTACACCTAAAAAAACGAATTAATTTAAATAATTGTTTATTATAGACTTCAATTAGCTATATTCCGATTGAAAACGTTTTAACATGTTCATGTAACAACATAAATACTTATACAATCATAATTACCTATACATCTTATCCTATTTTTTTTTTTTCTCTAATGTGACATCCCTATATAAATCATACTCATTATTTTTATTTTCACAGCCCCTAACACTATGGTATTTGTTATATTATTCCATACTTTCTTTGTTTGAGTGCACTGTACCCTTATATCGCTATTTTACAACCACTCTAGTAAAGCAAATCGTTATTGTAAATTTTCATAATAAAATAGGCATGTTAGGTCAACGTTGTCCTCAACACTGACCCAACAAAATTGCACTTGGGGATTTTTTTTTAACCCAGTTGGTAACACTAACCGATCCTGACGGCACAACACGCTCCAAAAATAAATAAATAAATAAAACAAAAAACACCAAAACATAAATAAAGTAAAAACCGGGCACTCACATATAGAGAAAAAACGTATACATGTAAAAATGAAAAAAGTGGATGTCCACGTTGATGAAGAAGAGGGGAATCGACGCGAATAAATAAAAATGCTAGTCGAACGAGCGTCCTGTGCCTACACTACTTCTACATCGATAGTTGACACATACAACTTTGAAAAATAATACTTTTGGAATACTCGTTGGAAGATGTATTGGAATGATTTAGTCTCTTTCTAAAGAGAATCTAGTAGAGTCAGGTGCACTCGACAATACGTAATACTTCTTAAAAATGTTTTGATTTCTAAACGTTTGTAATATTTGTAAAGAGTATCGAACTAATTACAAATTTGAAAATCCAGAGGTGCTCTCAAACAAGCCATTCCTGTATTCCACCACCACCACAACATAACCTTGATACAACGCAAAACAACAATACACAACTTATTGTCAATATGATTCATTGAACCGCTTCCTTCAATGAATGATATTTTACTAACAATAACCACAAGATACATCTCTCAGGAAAACAAAAAAGAAACTAAAGCCGCCATATTCCACAGTTTAGCCACATTTCAAAATAAGCCTCACTGTTAGTTGCCATATACCACATGGAATAAAAGAAAAGAAGCACACGATTTGCTGCATACAACATTTCAACGAAACAAACAAATAAAATCATGTTGTAAACAACAAAATCCTTTTCGAAATGATGAAATTTACTGACAGGCTGTCAAAGCACACATGCCGAGAACACCCCCATCACCCGTCAGCCTATATCAGCATCACCGTTGAGCATGTTTCGATTGTAAATAGCCTGTCTGTAACTATACCTATTCGTAGGCGGCGATGGTCGGTCGGGGATCGGCGGCGGGACGATCCCACCCGATGGTCCGTCCATCAAGGTCACACCGGTCGCTTCGTCAACTTCGCCTATGCTGTTCTCCACGAGGCTTACGGTGTGCTGCTCGGTGTACTGGGACATGCGCGAACGTAAAATATACGAGTATGTCCTGTAGCGTTTCACCTGAAAGCAAGTGCGTAAGTGAGCGAAAGAGCCACAAAAAACAATCACAAAAAAAAAATTACAAACAAAATTTGGCCTAAACCTAGAGATATTTGATAAAGTTTGGAAGGTACTTAATTTGGTTATAAATGAAATAGTAGTTATACGGGCTGAATTAACAAAAGAAATTCCAAAAATATTTTGGTTTAAAAAGTAAAATCTAGGTGAACGCCGTATGTTAAATAAAACGAAAATTCGAAAAATCCAAACCTCGAAGATTACTTCGACAGAACTTCGCCTAAAAAGTACAGCTTGTCAAAAGTTCAATTCGGAGTCATAAACTACTAGACTTATGCTAGCAAGTACTAGCCCCTCCCACCCGCCCTTTATTTTTTCAGAGGGTAGAACTTGTTAATCCTTGCTAACATACGTCTTATTTTGGCAAATGACATATCCTCTGAGAAAATAGGGGCGGGTGGGCGGGGCTAACACATGCTAGGATAAGACTGATTTTGCCCCTATTAAACTTGTAAAAATTTGTTAAATTTAAAAAGTGTTAAATTGCAAATTTCTAGGGATGTAAAGACTAGTGGCCGACCGGTCGGATAAGCCGACTATTCGGCCGTTTTTCATCGTCGGCTGACAGTCGGCGACTGTTCGGCTAAACAGCCGATCGGTCGGCTTTTTTTAATAAAATTAAAATAGTATATAAAATAATTAAACCCAGTTTACAGACCCTCAATTAAATATTTAATTGTGATTTAATTTTTAACCCCGCGTTAAAGTACCATGTGACCGACTCTACGCCAATCAGACGTCGCTAATGGCCTTGTTAAATGCGCGATCAACTTAATCTTAATTAAAATATTGTATAAACTGGCCCCAAATTGTGTTATTCTTTATTTTTGTACTGAGTTACTAAAAAAATTAAATATTAAAATTATCCAAAAAAATTTAACACATTTTTTGGAAAACAAAGGAACTTTAGTTATTCCTTTTATTAAAATAAAACAAATTTTTAAAGTAGTCAGAGAAATAGAAAAAAAAACAGACTGTCTGTCGCATTTATAAACCGGTTTTAGCAAAGCCGAACAGTCGGCCGACTAGTCGGTTTTTACTGGCCGAACAATCGGCTAGTCGGTTAGTCGGCCAGACCTACAGTCGGTACATCTCTACAAATTTCCATTAAATTTGCATCCATCCTTAAATTCCTAAATCTGATTGGATGTTTATTTTTTAACAACACAGTTATTAATTTTTTTGAGTAACCCTGTTTAAGCAAATCTAAAAAATGTGAATGTAGTGATGAATCACAAACTGATCATATTTTGCATAAATTAGATAGTATTTATCCCACAAAATTTTAAGATGACGTCATCAATTTTTTGGAGAGAATAGCGAATATATTTTGCTTAAAAATTATTATGTTTACCATGAATTTTAAAACATCTACAAGATTTCAAATCATTCAGTTTGGCGGAATCAAAATTAAATTGCAAAATCTTGACGTTTCGGGTAAAAACTCAACACGGCGTCATAAACTACATGTGTACCCGTTTACTATGTGCAATTTTGAAGTGACGTCATCACATTATTGGTGGGGATGATTAGACAAATTTTGGTTCGCGTTTTACCATCTACATGCTATAAAATTTATTTACAAAGTATATTCTTATTGTATATTGTGAAACAAAAATTGATAATAATTTCCCTTTTTATCTATAAAATTTTTATACCGAGCTATTTTGACGAATTTATTAAAATTGCTATATTTCAGTTAACGATTTTGGAAATATATAGAAATTTCCGAAGAAACGAAGCCTACAATTAATTTCTGGATATCGAAATCTACAAGAAAATGTCAAAATCAGACTGATCTATTCACATACTAACCCCACCCACCCGCCCTCTATTTTCTTAGAGATCATGTCATTTGCCAAAATCAGTATCATCTTAGCAAGTACTTGCCCCGCCCACCCGCCCTCTTTTTTCTTGGAAAGTGTCATTTGCCAAAATCAGTCTTATCGTAGCAAGGACTAGCCCCGCCCACCCGCCCTCTTCTCATTCTAAGGACTAATTTACTTACTGTTCAATATAAGATCATTTATTTCATTCAGATCGGATAAAATCACTCATTGAAAACGGGATAGGGTGGGTGGGCGGGTCGGGCTAATTATTATGTTCTTATGTCGAGTGGGAGGGGACACTAATAAAAGAATTTAGGATGTGAAAAAGAAAAAAAAGCGCTAATCGTATTTTTTTAATTATACTATTTGTTATAAAATTAACTTCTTATTTCATGCACCTGACAAGACTGGATAATTTTCGAAAATGGTTGAAAAATGGTAGAAAATGCCAAAATTAGTCTGATCTTATCAAATACTAGCCCCGCCCACCCACCCTCTATTTTCTTAGAGGATATGGTATTTGCCAAAATCAGTCTTATCGTAGAAAGTACTAGCCCCGCCCACCCGCCCTCCTCTCATTCTAAGGACAAATTTTATTTCTGTTCAGTATAAGATCATTTATTTCATTCAAATCGGACAAAATCAAACATTGAAAAGGGGGCAGGGTGGGTGGGGGGGTTTACTAATTATGTTCTTATGTCGAGTGGGAGTGGACACTAATAATAGAACCTAGAATGTGAAAAAAAAAAAGTAAAAAAAAGCATTAATCGTATTTTTTTTTTATTATACATACTATTTGCTATAAAATTTATTTCTTATTTCATGCACCTGACAAGACCCTGGATAATTTTCGAAAATTGTCGAAAATCCTAAAATCAGTCTGATCTTATCAAATACTAACCCCGTTCACCCACCCTCTATTTTCTTAGAGAGCATGTAATTTCCCAAAATCAGTCTTATCTTAGTAAATACTTGCCCCGCCCACCCACCCTCTATTTTCTCAGAGGATATGGTATTTGCCAAAATCAGTCTTATCGTAGAAGGTACTAGCCCCGCCCACCCGCCCTCCTCTCATTCTAAGGACAAATTTTATTTCTGTTCAGTATAAGATCATTTATTTCATTCAAATAGGATAAAATCAATCATTGAAAAGGGGGCAGGGTGGGTGGGCGCGGTTAATTATGTTCTTATGTCGATTGGGGGTGGACACTAATAATAGAACCTAGAATGTGAAAAAAAAAAGTAAAAAAAGCGCTAATCGTAATTTTTTTCATTATACTATTTGCTATAAAATTTGTTTCTTATTTCATGCACCTGAAAAGACTCTGGATAATTTTCGAAAATGGTCGAAAATGCCAAAATCAGTCTTATCTTAGCAAGTACTTGCCCCGCCCACCCGCCCTCTATTTTCTTGGAGAGTACGTCATTTGCCAAAATCAGTCTTACGGTAGCAAGTACTAGCCCCGCCCACCTGCCCTCCTCTCATTCTAAGGACAAATTATATTTCTGTTCCGTATAAGATCATTTATTTCATTCAGATCGGGTAATGTCAAACATGGAAAAGGGGCGGGGCTAATTATGTTCCTATGTCGACCACTAATAATAGAATCTAGGATGTGAAAAAAATAAAAAAAGCGCTAATCGTTGCTATAATTTTCGAAAAAAGTGGAAAAATGGTCGAAAATGTCAAAATCAGTCTTACATTATAAAATACTAGCCCCGCCCACCCACCCTCTCTTTTCTTACAGGGTATGTTATTTGCCAAAATCAGTCTTGACATAGCAAGTACTAATACAAATACAAAATTTGACAACAATCGGGCCAGTACTTTCCGAGATTATCTGTCTAATAAAAATCTGGAACGGTAAACAAACGGGCCGACAAACGGAAACGGGAGACCTATTTCTTCGTACTCTAGGGGTCATGAAAGGTCCAGAAAACGTAAAAGTAAAGAGTCGGCCGACGGACTCGATTACAATACTCCCTTTGCTTACGCTCAAGAAAAAATCAAAATTCGAAAAACCGGAAAATCCAAGAATCGAAATATAGAAAAATGGAAAAATTGAAAAATCGAAAATCAAAAAACAAAAACTCAAAAAATTGAAAATTCAATTATTCAATTTCAGTGTCGTGTATAGAGAAATCGCGCTTCTTTAAAAAAAACATAAAATTTGATTTTGTGATTTTCGTTTTGTGATAGATAGCCCCTATAATGACAAAACTCGTGTGGATAATACGAAATATATTTAAAGCATATAACCAACGGGCAAGAATTTCTTAGTACAAGTTTAACTTCGACTGTTTATGTTTATACTTTATAATTCGACTGTTAGCACGTAGCGCTTAAAAGAAAAATAAATTTGATTGATTTTGTCTCCTCAACTCAGGGGAGAGGTTAATTAATTATCCACACTCAGTTCTTTTCCCAAAAACACTCGTAAATTTGAAAAACACTTCGGAAAAATTGTACGGTGACGAATAAATTTTGATCAGCGATTTACCATGCTTTCAATAATCTTAAAATATTTGCAAGTTTCACACACCAACTGGTTCAAAAAAAATCTGGATGCCATGGTAAAAACTCAACACGGATTCAAAAACCACACGTTGCCTCTTCTCTTAAACTGCTTTATCTTACCTCGAAGGTCAAGTAAGCCTCCTTCTCCTTATAATTCTGTACAACTAAAGACTTAGAACCTTTGTCTGGGGGTGATTTTCGATGTTCCTCTAGTTCAGCTTCCAGTCTAAGTACTCTCTCCTCGTGATCTCTGAGCTGTTCTCTCTGCAACAATCTCGATTAAATCCATCACTTCGTCAGTTCTACCAGCCTACCATATTTAATTTCGTATGACTACATGGCAAGAGTGGCCTTTGGAATTTCTTCTGAGAGCCGACAGCTGCTTCCAGGGGAGCCGCCGAGAAACTCGCGCACACGAAGTTGATGGTATCTATCCACGACTGCAGCTCCTTGGAATCGCTAAATCAAAACCACCAATTAGAATGGCGTTTGATCGTTAGTGAAAAATTACCCATATATCTTACCACGCAAAATTATCATTGCTGTGTTATTTATGTAGAATTTAATGCGAATAATATTGTAATTACGACGGCGTACGCACGCAATCGGTCAGAACTTTGACCTTTCCGCCTTTACGTGACGTGCAATTGTTTTGAATGCAGTTCTGCGAATAACAAAAGGCGCAGTCGGTAGGATCGCGGATTGTTTGCTTCGGAATCGAAAAACACCCATTGTGGAATTCGAGCGTAGGGAAAATACCTCAAAACAGCGATTTATACCGGAAGCGTTTAATATTCGACGCACGCCGTCGCCGTTCTCGAGGCGCGAAATACTCGCCAACTTGCTACAATCTGGGATATTAAAGTTGAAAAGCTCCCTTTGCGACCCATAACGAACTTTCGCAACATTAGTTTTGTCGGTCTGACGTATCTTACCCGGTTTGGAAGAGATATTCCGCTTGATCCGCCGTCTGCAGCCTAAAAACAAACATCTTCTTCGTGTAGTCCGTCGCTTTGGTCGCCAATGCGTGGTGTATCCGTATCGCGTTGTGCAAATTATCACCCATTTGGTTCTTTTTGAAGCCGTTCTCGTCCTTGTGGAGATACAAGACCAAATCCCGCAATGTACAATAAAACATCTTCCAACTACGCTTGTGAAACGGTGCTAGAAAAATGCAGCAAAGGCCTTCGAAACAGCTATATTGTATTGCAACATGCTGTGCAGACGTAATTGACTAGCTAATCTAACTAATGGTCAAAGAAAAAAAAAAGGAAACAAAAATCACTGTTCTGCCACAATATTGCAACTTTGGTTTTAGTCACTTAACGAAAACTCTACAAGTTTTCGATAAGTGAAGACGAAATCCATCGAATCAATGTAAGGCTGTTAGTTCGGTTGGGGGAAATCCCCACTTCCAACAACCGCACTAAAGTATACTAAAAACTCACTTCTCTTGGCGTTGGCCTCGTAGCAGCACTTCCTCATGACGTATCCCTTTTTGTATTCCACGGCATTCGAGGACACGGGAACATCAAGGAACGGATTTCCCCCAAGACCGAGCTGGTCGTTGCTTTTTATTTGCATTTGTGTACCGCCATCTTCTACCTCTTCGTCCCTAAATTTGACCGTTTTAATAAAACACGACCGCATCAGGCTGTCCTGAAACTTACAGTGCCCATTCTAGAGGGTAATTTTTAATGGCGTGGTAGAGCTGCTTGAGGATCTCCCGAGGGAAGTTCTCCTGTTCGTTTAAACCCGAAAGGTTCTCGATGAACTCGTTACACGTCATCTTCCGGTTGATGTTCTGACCGTGAAGGTCCGTGTTGAGCAACATAATGGCACACGTCAGAGTATGTACCGCATCTAAACGAGACGTTCAATGTAAATGGCGCAGTCGGTAACATTTCGACTTACCTTGCGAATTAAACGATCCGGGATTGCAGTCTAAATATCTCTTAGAAAAATGAACGAGGACTCTCTCCCTCTCTTGAGTTTCACCCGTGAGAGAGAACTGCTTGAGGAACTTTCGTAAAGCTATATCTAAAGTGTCGTTTTCGAATTCGAAATATTTTAGATACTCTTCGGCTACTGCACGACTGAAGTCATTGCTGAAATATTCGACCGTTAGACGCTAGACTAATCGTAGAGATAGAAATCCGGAAACTGAGCTAATGTGTTTCCAGACCTCTGGCTCTGCGATCGTACCGGTGACGTACTTTTTACTAAGATGTCTCGATACGTCAGACTTTTTGAATCCGTCCAAACCGTATAAACGTTTTGCCAATCGTATGGCAGAAGGCAAGTCCACCGCTTTCGGTGAATAATGGAAACTATGGAGGCTCTCCACGTCACTTTCGTCTTCCGATGACTGAGGCGACGAAGACTTCCCGTATTCTTTCGTCGTTTCTTCGTCGTTTTCGTAGCTTGGTTCGATCAACTCATGTATCTGAAAAAAAACTAGTGCCACTACCACGCATATGGACATTTTTAAAGGAGCGGACAAAATCGTGCAACTCATAAATAAACCTTAATTAAACACACGCTCCGCTCATAACTAACGCGTTTATAAAAATTGCGCTTTAGAGATATCGGTGAGACCCGAAGATATTTGAGAAGCCTCATCCAGGAGAAGTGGGTAATTCCCCTTTGGCATTTAAACGCCACATCGCGAGTTTTATTGTTGCGAGACAAATAGAGCATCCCCTATGCACAGGAACACGACTACAATAATTGGTTTAGTGCCAAACCGCTACATCCTGGATCGATGGTTCGATTTCCGGCTAGGGCAAAGCACCTTGCCTGTGGGTGTTTGTATCCTTCTTGTGAGTTTGTGTTTTTGTCCGTAGGGTATACCGTACGCGGCTCTAAACGTTAGGACCTCCCCCGCATGAATTGCTCGATTTTCTAGGGGAATTCAAGCGACAGACAGACAGACAGACAGACAGACAGACGGAAACAGGAGATCCATTTTTTCGTTCTCTAGAAGTCATGAAAAAGTTTCCTGTTATGAAAAGCCATCTTTTCATAACAAGAAACTTGAAATATGTTTAAAGTGGTTTACACAAGGAAACATGGGTTTTGCAATTATGGGGCGGAGCCTAACTGGAAAATCGATATTTCCTTATACAAATTTTATATTTTAAACATGTTTTAAGTTTCATGTTGTGAAAAGAAGTCTACAAATATTATAAAAAAAGGCAAAATGTAAGCCCGTCCACCCACCCGATCTCAATTGTGATGATCTTTTTTTTTATCGCCGTGAACCAAAAAGATAGAGCTTGACTGCAAATCACTTATTTCTTTACAACAAATTAAAAACATGTTTTTGAGTATCGTTAAAATGTAAACCCCGCCCACCCACCCCCTCCCCATTTGTGATGATTTTTTTGATTTTTAGAAAGTTAAAACACGTCTCAAATGTAAAATTTTTTTAAGAAATATGGAACTTTAATTTTTTCTTAATATACATAGTATCCTTTAATTAACACGATACCCAAAAAATGTCTTACATGGTAATTTCTTGTAGAGAGAAATAATAAGAATTTTGCATTTAAATTTCGCTCCTTTATAAAAAATCATCACAATTGGGATAGGGCGGGTGGGCGGGGCTTATATTTTGCCTTTTTTCTTAATATACGTAGTCGTTTTTTCAGAACAAAAAGCTTGAAAACATGTTTAAAATGGTAAATTCTTGTAGACAAATACTGATCTTGCAATTAAGCCCCGCCCTTCGATCTGACAACGAATGAAAAATTCATCACAATTGAGAACTGAGATCGGGGCGGATACTAGTGTAGCCTAATCTTTGGCTTTATTTTTTCTTAATTTTTTTAGTCTTCTTTAAACAACACAATATTCAAAAACAGGTTTTTAATTTCTTGTAGATAAATAAGGATTTTGCAGTTAAGCTCCGTCCCCTTGGCTCACGACGCATAAAAAAAATTCATCACAATTGAGATAGGGTGGGTGGGCGGGGCTACGTTTTGCCTTTTTTTCTTAGTATGTGTAGTCATCTAACTTAAAACATGTTTAAAATAGTAAATTTTTATAGGAAAATATCAATCTTGCAATTACGCTCCGCCCCTAGGTCTGAAAAGGAATGAAAAATTCATCACGGTTAAGATCGAGACGGATGGGTGGGGCTTCTCTTTTGGTTTTCTTTCTTAATTATTACACTTGGTTTTCTTTGTTTACTTAAGAACATATTTCACATGTTAATTTCTCGTACAAAAATAAGGATTTTACAATGAAGCCCGGCCCCTCGGCTTACGACGAATAAAAAAGAATTATTAGAATTGAGATAGGGTGGGTGGGTGGGGCTTATATTTGGCCCTTTTTTCTTAATATACATAGCCATCTTTTCATAACACGAAACTTAAAACATGGTTAAAATGGTTTTTGCAAGGAAATATGGATTTTGCAATTATGGGCCGGAGCCTAATTGGAAAATCGATATTTCCTTGTACAAATTTTCCATTTTAAACACGTTGTAAGTTTCATGTTGTGAAAAGAAGTCTACACATATTATAAAAAAAAAGGCAAAATGTAAGCCCGCCCACCCACCCTATCTCAATTGTGATGATCTTTTTTTAATCCCCGTGAACCAAAGGGATAGAGCTTGACTGCAAAACAATTATTTCTTTACAATAAATTAAAAACATGTTTTTGAGCATCGTCAAAATGTAAACGGGTGTAATGATTTTTTTTATTTTTAGAAAATTAAAACACGTTTCAAATGTCAAATTTTTGTAAGAAATATGGAGCTTTAATTTTTTCTTAATATACATAGTATCCTTTAAATAAGACGATACTCAAAAAATGTCTTACATGGTAATTTCATGTAGGGAGAGAAATAATAAGAATTTTGCATTTAAATTTCGCTTCTTTCGCTCGACGATTATAATTTTTTCATCACAATTGGGATAGGGCGGGCGGGCGGGGCTTATAATTTGTCTTTTTTCTTAATATACGTAGTCGTCTGTTCAGTACAAAAAACTTAAAACATGTTTAAAATGGTAAATTCTTGTAGACAAATACGGATCTTGTAATTAAGCCCCACCCCTCGATCTGAGAACGAATGAAAAATTCATCACAATTGAGAATTGAGATCGGGGCGTGAACTGGTGTGGCCTAATCTTTGGCTTTATTTTTTCCTTAATATTCGTAGTATTCTTTAAACAACACAATATTCAAAAACATGTTTTTAATTTCTTGTAGATAAATAAGGATTTTGCAGTTAAGCTCCGTCCCCTTAGCTCACAGGCATAAAAAAAATCATCACAATTAAGATAGGGTGGGTGGGCGGGACTACGTTTTGCCTTTTTTTCTTAGTATGTGTAGCCATCTAACTTAAAACATGTTTAAATTGGTAAATTTGTATAGGGAAATATCGATTTTGCAATTAGGCTTCGCCCCTCGGTCTGACAACGAATAAAAAATTCATCACGGTTAAGATAGAGATGGATGGGTGGGGCTTCTCTTTTGGTTTTCTTTCTTTACTTAAGAACATATTTCACATGGTAATTTCTCGTAGAAAAATAAGAATTTTATAATTAAGGCCGGCCCCTCGGCTTACGACGAATAAAAAAGAATCATTAGAATTGAGAGAAACTTAAAACATGGTTAAAATGGTTTTTGCAACGAAAAATGGATTTTGCAACTATGGGGTGGAGTCTAATTGCAAAATCGATATTTTCGTACACAAATTTTCCATTTTAAACATATTTTAAGTTTCATGTTGTGAAAAGAAGTCTACACATATTAAAACAAAAAGGCAAAATGTAAGCCCGCCCACCCGCCCTGTCTCAATTGTGATGATTTTGTTCATTCGTCCTGAACCAAGGGGACAGAACTTAACTGCCAAATACTTTTTTCTTTACAAGAAATTAACAACATGTTTTTGTGCATCGTGTTCAAAGAATACAATGTATATTACGAAAAAAAGGCAAAATACGAACCCCGCCCACCCACCCCATCTCAATTGTGATGATTTTTTTCTTTTTAGAAACTTAAAACACGTTTAAAATGGTAAATTTTTGTAAAAAATATCCAGCTTTAATTTTTGTTAATACATACACATAGTATTTTTTGAATAACATGATACTCAAAAAAAATGCCTTACATGGTAATTTCTTGTAGAGAGAGAAATAATAAGAATTTTGTATTTAAATTCCGCTCTTTTGGCTCTCGACGGCTATTAAAAAATCATTACAATAGGAATAGGGCGGGTGGGCGGGGCTTATATTTTGCCTTTTTTCTTAATAAACGTAGTTGTCTTTTCGGAACAAGAAACTTAAAACATGTTTAAAATGGTAAATTTGTATAGGGAAATATCGATCTTGCAATTAAGCCCCACCCCTCGATCTGACAACGAATAAAAAAAAAATCATCACAATTGAGGTAATCTACGATGAATTTTCTGCAGAGGAAATAATTCTGGAAATTTTACGAATGAGCTAAGGAAGACTAAACAATTTTTCCATTTTATCAATTAAAAAAGAGAGGAAAGTAAATTTTGATACTGTCAGAATATTTTGGCAACATATGCCGTAAGCATGTTTAATATTTGTTGTTTTATTATGTGTGTTTAGAAAACCGCCCTGGGTGTCAAATCACTGTTATAAATGATTCTGTAGGAAAAAATTAAACTTAGCCCCGCTCACCCACCCGTTCTTTCATTTTATTTCTTCAGAAACAACAAAAAAAATTACGAATAACGCTTTTTTTCCTAAGTTCTATTAGTTCCCATTCTCACTTTACAAAAGGACATGTAATTCATCCCGCCCACCCACCCTGCCTCCATTTCATTCATTTTGTCTGGACCGAATGAAAGGTGGATCTCAATAGAAAAGGGATAAAATCGTTAGAATGAGAACAACGCATGTGTACGCGTAAGAATCATTTTGGTAAATGACATAATCTTCTAAGAAAAAAGAGGGTGGATGGGCGGGGCCAAAACTTGCTACGCTAGGACAGAACAATATTAAAAGTAGCCACTGCAACGAAAAAGAGGTGGGAGGGCGGGCCTAGTGCTTGCTCATAGAACTTGAAAAAAGCTAAATTTAACCCCGCCCATCTCATTTCTCCACTTCACTTGCTTATTTTATTTAGTGTAAAATGGAAATTGAAAAATAACAGTATTGTATTCCCAAAATTTTCTGGGAAAATGGAGTGAGCCGTGAGTAATTTAATCAATAAAATAAATTGACTCACTTATTTTTTTTTTTGAGACACCCCGTATAAAAAATATTAATGCATTGACTTATTAAAGTATTGACTTATCATATTTCGCACATTTAAGAGGATTTATTCAGCAAAATTTTCAGGTGACGTCATCAATTTTTTAGGGGGGATGAGCAAACATTTTGATCAAAAATTTACCATGCTTATGATAAATTTAAAACATTCATTAATTTTTTTGAGTCAAGACAACATTCGTAAACCACAAGTACTTACATACATACATAATCTTTTAGTCTATTTTACCCAAAAACAAGTACAGGAGTAATTATTTCATACAAAATCGGTAATCGGTGGGGAGGATTAGGCAAATTTTGGTTAGCGTTTTATATCTACACGATATTCTTAATACAAATACGAAATTTGCAAACAATCAATCTAGCAATTTTGGAGAATATTCGTCTAATAAAAATCCAGACAGACAGACGGACAAGAACGCAAGATCAGTTTTTTTGTATTCTAGGGGTCATGAAACGTCGAGAAACATGAAAGTTCGAAGACGTGCCACTACGGCCACCTGATGTAAATCCAATTGAACACGTCTGGATGGTACTTTTTTTTTAAACGCTGTTAGACTTTGTTTAACGCACAATGGGTTGCATAAGTTGTCCGCCCCACTACCCAACCAATAAACATACCTGATATCCTCCCGTTTCGTTCCTACTCTTATTATTATTATCACAGCAGGCCCCCTTCCCTCTGTCCTTCCCGTTAACTCCGTCCTTGTCAGGTCCCTTCACTTGTATCACAATCCTATGGTCCCCTTCCCCCCTACTCCCGTGCCTCTGTCTCGGCTCCGACACCAACAAAGTACTATCACTATCACTATGGTCACTGATCTCCATCACGCAGTCTCTGATGCCCATGCTGTCATCGTCATGGTAATCCGGACTGGAGATGTTCGAAATGGCTTCCGAAACGCTGAAGTCGCCGCCGTTGGCGGTCTGCGGCTGCGACGTGCCGCCGCTCGGAACGTAGGGGAATCTCTTCGAGCCCGATTGGCTCGACATCACCGAGGAAGACACAGACGTGGGGGAGGCGGGAGAGCCGGAATGGAGGGGGCTCGACGACGTCGGCGACGTGTTGCTGTGCGACGAGCTGCTGCCGTTCGACAAGGTGTGGCAGAACTTGTGGTGGTCGGTGGTGGTGGGGGCGTTGTATGTCCACACTATCCTGTCGCTGAAACAGAAATCAAGAAGTTAACAGATGATTAGTTGCAAAACTAATACTGTAATAATAGAGTTACTGACTTGATTCGGCGATAAACCGAAGATGTGTGTGTTTGGCGACCAACAGCTGCTAAATGGTCAATTTTAGTAATAATATAATATTTAAAATCCTGGACGCTTGAATATGCTCATGTTAGAGTTTATTAGACATTTTTTGGAGAGTATAAAGGGGTGACTCACGTTACCAGTCATTAAACACAAAAGGTTTACTTTGTAGATATTAATTACAACGTAAAACTGGTGACTCCTATTTCCGACACTGAATGAATGAAATTTATCTGAATTATTTGTGACCAAGCCAAAATTTTAAGCTGTTCAAAATATTCCTTAGGTTTTATCTCGGCAGAAATACTTTTAGCCATCTGGCCATCATTATATTTATTGGGTCAAAGCAATAACCACTTTAGTTGAACTTCTATTAGAAGACTTGGGAGAATTTTCATTTGTGGCGATATTAGCAGAAGGTTGAAAAACTTACACACGAATCCGGCTCAACTAATCCAATCATTTAAATTTGCTTATTTATCTAAATAAATAAGACAGAGCTCGAAGCTCCACTGAGTTTATAAAATACTATTTTTAAGCGGGGACTTCTACCTTATGATGTCACTTTAGCCAACGCGTTTTAAGTCAGACTCATAAAACGTAGTATGTTGAAGATGGTTATACGCGCCATAAAACACTCACTACCATTTTTAACCGCAAAATATTCCAAACTTTCGTACTAAATTTATTGCGGGATGGTGAATTTCAAAACGCACTTAAAACACTTCTGTATTCCCCTCTTGCACACACCAATCTGTGTCACACCGAATTCGATATTCCCTAAGGTAAATTTAGACAACTTGTGGTCGAAAACAAAATTTTACACAAGTTTATGTTTTCTGTCACCAACTTTTCAAATAAAATTTGTAAGAATCGATAACAAGATGCCAATAAATAAATGTTATAAAGAACAATTTTAATGCCCTATTCCCCAGAAGATTTAGATGGATTAGTTTTATTTGTTCAAAAATTAAAAAACCACCACATGTTAAATTAGGTTGTTAATTTTTTTGTACCTGGTGATAACCTGGGAACACACTGTGTTCAGCCTTGGTCGATAACTGTCACAGTGAAATTATAGTCGAAAAATTGTGAAATAATGTTATCCCTTATCTTTTATGCTGCAATATACGCAGTCGGCATTCCCTGTCGGTAGGGGAACAGATTTGCAGAATGGCACACAGTTTTTGAAAATTTATGAAATGGAATTCTCTGCGAGGTCTGCATGCAAATCTGTGACAGCGCACCATCGTTACACGGATTAAGAGTGAACGCTATTCACCACAGCAAACCAAGTAGAGCTTTTATTTATTGTAATCAGATAAAAAATGGTCGAATAAAAATTCAATATTCACAACGAATAACAGCATTACAATTGAAATGGCGGTAGGAAGGCGAAACTTAAATTTTGCCTTTTTTCTGGATATACCTAACAATCTTTTCACGACAATACATATATCTAAAACGCTTAAAATGGTAAATGTTTGTCGGGAAACATCGATTTTACAATTAAGCTCCGCCCCTCGGTCTGACAACGAATGAAAAATTCATCACGATTGAGATTAGGACGGGTGGGTGGGGCTTATTTTTTTCGTTAACATTTTGCCATAAACTCCGCCCTTTGGCTCACAACGAATAAAAACCTCATCACAACTGAGACGAGGGCGGGTGGGCGGGTTTTGTATTTTGCCTCTTTTTTTAATACACGTCCGTACTTTTTTTTCCACGATAAAAAACTGAAAACCTGTTTAAAAGGGTAAATTTGTAAAGTGTATAGGATAAAATTTTGCACTTTAAACATGTTTTCAGTTTCTTGTTATGGGAAAAATATAGTATATCTTAAGAAGAAAAGAAAGCAAAACATAGCCCCACCCACCCACCCTATCTCGATTGTGACGCTTTTTCTTTATTCGTCGTTACTCAAGGGGGGCGGAGCTTCATTGCAAAATCCGTGTTTTTCTACAAGAATTGCCATGTGATGGTGTTGCTCAGAGAAAACTATATCTATTAAGTAAAAAAAAAAACTATAAAAAAAAGACAAGCCCCATCTCAACCTCAGTTCTTAATCGTGATGAATTTTCCATTCGTTGTCAGACTGAGGGGCGGGGCTAATTACAAAATCCATATTTCCTGTCTTAAACACGTTTTAAGTTTCTTGGTGCGAAAAGAAGACTACGAACATTAAGAAACAAAGGCAAAATATAAGCCCCGCCCACCCACGCTATCTCAATTGTGATGACTCTTTATTCATTGTTAGCCATGACGGTGGAGCTTAAAATCCTTCTTTCTCGACGAGACATTATCATATAAAACATGTTTTTGGGTATCGTGTTGTTTAAAGAATACTATGTATATTAAGTAAAAAATAAAGCCAAAGAATAAGTTCAAGCCATACCCATCTCCACAAAAAAATAATAAACTTTAATAAATTCATGGATAAAAGATTATCTAGAAATATTAGTGAAAATCTGTTGTGTTGGTACTGTAAACACGAACGAAAATGGATATTTGCCCAAAAGGGCCGGAAAAAATAGTAATTATGATTTCAGTTTCAATTTATCGGGTATTGGTTTACTCGACAATGTTTAAATTTTGGGAAACTTTTCGAAACGGTTGAAGTTGGCCGGTCAAAGCTATAAATTTTCACGATGTAACTGAATAATTTTTAAACATAATTAATATTATTTATAATGTTTAATTATGTTAAGTCTTAATATACGATAATTAAACCGAAAACAGTTTTGCTACAAGCCCGGAATTATTAAAAATAAATCAATTTATTTAAACGTTGTTAAATTAACTCCAAAAATGTGCAATTTCCCGCCCAAAATATGACAAATAATGTTTTCAATCTCATCGTAACGTACGATGACGTCACTGTCACGTGAGCTACCTGAGTAAAGGTCACATTTTTCGGCCCCTTGTCTTCAGTTTAGATTCCGGTCTGGTAGCAGCAACATCGGAGCTCCGCTTTGGCTTAAAAGTAGGACTCTTTTCGCCAATCTCCAATTTATTGTTAATAAATATTAGTGAAAATGTGTTGTGTTGGTACTGTAAACACAAACGAAAATTGATATTTTCCCAAAAGGGCCGGAAAAAATAGTAAGTATGATTTCAGTTTTTATTTATTGGGTATTGGTTTATTCGATAATGTGTAAATTTTGGGAAACTTTTCGAAACGGTTGAAGTTGGCCGGTCAAAGCTATAAATTTTCACGATGTAACTGAATAATATTTGAACATAATTAATATTATTTATAATGTTTAAATATGATAAGTCTTAATATATGATAATTAAACCGAAAACAGTTTTCCTACAGGCCCGAAATTATTAAAAACAAATCAATTTGTTTAAATATTGTTAAATTAACCCCGAAAATGTGCAATTTCCCGCCCAAAATATGACAAATAATTTTTGCAATCTCATCGTGAAGTACAATGACATCACTGCCAAGTGAGGTACCTGAGCAAAGGTCACATTTTTCGGCCCCTTGTCATCAGTTTAGATTCCGATCTGGTGGCAGCAACAACGGAGCTCTGTTTTGGGTTAAAAGTAGGACTCTTTTCGCGAATTTCTAATTTATTGTTAATAAATATTAGTGAAAATGTGTTGTGTTAGTGCTGTGAACACGAAAGAAAATGGATATTTTTCCGAAAAGGACCGAAAACAGAGTAAGTACGACTTCAGTTTTAATTTATCGGGTTCCGAGATTCGTTTACTCGACAATGTTTAAATTTTGGTAAAATTTTCGAAACGGTTGAATTTGGTCGGTCAAAGCTATTCATTTTCACGATATAATTAAATAAAATTTAGACATAATTAATATTTTTTAAAATGTTTAAATATGATGAGTATTAATACATGATACTCAAACCGAAAACCGTTTTCCCAAATACATCAAATTAATAAAAACAAATCAACTTGTTCAAACATTGTTAAATTAACTCCGAAAATGTGCAATTTCCCGACAATATATGACAAATAATTTTTGCAATCTCATCGTGACGTAGGTCACATTTTTCGGCCTCTTGTGTTCAGTTTAGATTCCGGGCTGGTGGCAGCAACAACGGAGTTCTGTTTTGGCTTAAAAGTAGGACTCTTTTCGACAATTTCTAATTTATTATTACTAATTATTTGGAAAATGTGTCGTTAGTACTGTGAACGCGAAAGAAAAGTGATATTTTTCCAAAAAGGACCGAAAACGGGGTAAGTACGAATTTTTTGGAAAAGATAAGTAAATATATTTTGATTAAAAATTTATCATGCTTATCATAACTGTAAACCATTTGCAATATTTCGAAGTATTCGATTTTGCAGATTCCAGATTAAATTGCAAAATGTTTTTCCACAATTTTGATTTTTTTTTTCCAAAAATCTGGACGTTTCGGGTAAAAACTCAATTCGGAGTCATAAACTACATGTGTAGGACTATGTTATTTTATAAAATTTAAAACCCATTTACCATGCACAATTTTGAAGTGACGTCATCAGATTATTGGTGGGGATGATTAGAGAAATTTTGTCTAATAAAAATCCGGGACGGCAGACAGACAGACAGACGGAAACGGGAGACCTATTTCTTCGTACTCTAGGGGTCATGGAAGGTCGACAAAACGTAAAAGTAGAGAGTCGGCCGACGGAGTTGATTACAATAATAGAATGAAGGTTACGTTCTGACTTAAGTTAAAATGATTTAAATTTTATATCTCTATAGTAATAAATGTATGTAGCGAGTTTTACAGCACATTTGTAGTTATCTAAGCTAAAAAATATGTAAACATGTCTAGGAAAGTCTACTAGAGGTGGGTTTCTTGAGTCAATTAATTTATGAAATTGTGACAACATTTAAAAATAGTAAAGAACAAACGCCAATACAAATATGTAATGAAATTCTTCATCAGTTCAAAGTTCTAGTGTACGACTAAAATCAACAAATTAACATAAACATGAACATGACTAGTAAACCATTTATTCCTATCTTTCGCACCAATTGAGTCAATACAAGACTTTCATAAATCTTTCTTCTAAAATGTTGCAGATTTGCCGCTTCTTCGTAACAAATTTTAATTAACACGGTTAATACATCATTTCGACAATTAAACTTCATTACACATAGTTACGTACACAGCGAGATCAACATCTCTGACAAAATCGCAACGCGAATCGTCGTACGTCAAACAAAATAATCGAACATCGACTTCCAACCTGACTTTTTCATAGCCACACCTTCGTCGATACGCACGCATGCTCTAATCAACTCACCTATTGCTATCCCCGGAAGCACTGACGTTCTCTGGCCGCGTGTCCAACAGCGTGTTCAGCGAGCTGGTGATGTCCTCGTCGACGTCCACGTTCACCGTGCTCATGCCGCACGTGTCGTTCTGTCCCTGCAGCTGGTCCTCTGATCGGCTCGTCCGCACGAAGTTGCTGTAGGACTTGGAGGCGTCACCGGCGCCGGGCGACGTATGCGTGTCCCATTTATTGGCACTGACTGGAGATGTGTTCGCCGAGTTCGAGCCTGACTTGCAGTGGTTGTTCTTGAAACCGATGTCCATCTCGTTCGGACTGTTTGGCACCGAATTGTGCTGGTGACGCAAGTGGTGGGTGTGGCTGTTGTGGTACCTTAGACTGTCCACCTGGAAGAGATGATAGCATGAGTAATCGAGCTCTGAGGAGGTGTACGGCGAATTTAAAATTTGACGGGTTTCGAAATGACAGGTGCGACGTTTGACGGGGTGCTGACTAGATTGTTGACAGCGTGTGTTGAAAAAACTTTCTTGAGGGGATGAATAAAGTGTAAAATTTGCTGCTAGAACTTTTATTTATTTTCTTTAATAATAATTAGTATACATAAAATCTGGACACACCCCCAGGTCCACAGAACTCAGCAAAATTCATCATGAGTTTTCTAGATAATCAAAAACTGATATGTAATCAAATGAGAAAGGTTAACTAATGATGAATCAGAATTTCCCTTGTGTAATATTTATCAAATCAACAACTCGTGTATTTTGACGCCCAAATGAACACCAGAGCCACTACCAGCGATTAAAAGTAATCCATTACCGTAATTACAATACTTTTTTGTGATGAGTAACTACATTAATTACTTTTTTCGTGCAATGGTAGTTGAAAATGTAACTTTAATTTGTTTACAGAGTTTTTCGATTTGTATTAATAGACATAAAATAAACGAGACAACTTTTTTTAATAGTTTAATAGCAGATTTTTTAGCAATCTTTTGGCAACCTTTTCAGAAGCAAAATTTTACATTACTTTTCCCTTGGAAAATTTTGGCCAAGTTTTGACGATTTTGTAAATTAACCGAAGACATTTTCTTGTAGATTTTGACCTCTAGAAGTTACTTTCGGCTTCATTTCATCCATAAGTCCATTTTTACAGAATCGCTGGTTGAATTAAGACAATTTTGGATTTTTTTCAAAAAATTCGAATTTAATTTCACCTCGAATATTTCGAATTATTGCTTGGTGACCCTAAACACGTTATATTTTTGGAATCAGCACGTCAAAATCTATAATCCTGAATTTTTTGAGAATTTTTAGACGAGTTTTTCAAAAATGAAATTTTCCATTTTTGGCTTTCTTTTTTATTCAATAGTCTTAATACATATTGTTTGCTTTGAACAACACGATTACGCAAGAATAAGTTTCACATAACAAATTCTCGTATAAAAACAAGGATTTTGCAATTAAACTCCGCCCCATGACTTACGACGGCTAAAAAAAAATCATCACGATTGAGATCGGGTGGGTGGGCGGGGCTTATGTTATGCCTTTTTTTCTTGACATACGTAGTCGTCTGTTTTGAATTTTTGTTGTGAAAAGATGGCTACGTATAAGAAAAAAAAGGCAAAATATAAGCCCCACCCGCCCGCCCTGTCTCAATTGTGATGATTTTTTTTATTCGTCGTTTGCCAAGAGGGTGGAGCTTATTTGCAAAATCCTTATTTCTCGACAAGAAATTACCGTGCAAGACATGTTTTTGAGCATCGTGTTGTTCAAAAAATACTATGTATATTAAAAATGAAAGCCAGATGAGATCGAGAAGGATGGGTGGGGCTTATTTTTTGGTTTCCTTTTTTACTTAATACATATAGTGTGCTTCATACAACATGATTACTCAAGAACATGTTTCACATAGCAATTTTTTGTAGGAAAATTTTGCAATTAAGCTCCGCCCCACGACTTACGACGATTGAGATAGGGCGGGTGGGAGGGGCTTATGTTATGCTTTTTTTTTCTTAATACCCGTAAACATTCGTTTTAAATTTTAGTTCTGAAAAAATGACTACGTATACCCCTTATTCAAATTTCGACCCATTTTCGAAATTTAACTAAATATATTTTCTTGTAGATTTAGGGCCGCAGAAGTCACTTCCAGCCTCATTTCTTCGATAACTCCAAACGATTTTCCACAATCGCCCACTGAATTATCGCAACTTTTCAAAATTTAAAAAAACCCGAATTTCACTTCGAAATTTTCGAAAATATTGCTCCGTGACCCTAATCACGTTAATTTTTTGAGAATTTTTAGACGAGTTTTTCAAAAATAAAATTTTCCACTTTGGGATTTCTTTTTTACTCAATAGTCTTAATACAAATTGTTTGCTTTGAACAACACGATTACGCACGAATAAGTTTCACATAACAAATTCTCGTAGAAAAACAACGATTTTGCAATTAAACTCCGCCCCATGACTTATGACGGCTAAAAAAAATCATCACGATTGAGATCGGGTGGGTGGGCGGGGCTTAAGTTATGCCTTTTTTTCTTAACATACGTAGTCGTCTGTTTTAAATTTTTGTTGTGAAAAGATGGCTACGTGTAAGAAAAAAAAAGGCAAAATATAAGCCCCACCCACACGCCCTGTCTCAATTGTGATGATTTTTTTTATTCGTCGTGAGCCAGGAGGGCGGAGCTTAATTGCAAAATCCTTATTTCTCTACAAGAAATTACCGTGCAAGACATGTTTTTGAGCATCATGTTGTTCAAAAAATACTATGTATATTAAAAATTAAAGCCAGAATGAGATCGAGACGGATGGGTGGGGCTTATTTTTTGGTTTCCTTTTTTACTTAATACATATAGTTTGCTTCATACACCACGATTACTCAAGAACATGTTTCACATAGCAATTTCTTGTAGGAAAAGTTACGACTTACGACGAGTAAAAAAAATTATCCCGATTGAGATAGGGCGGGTGGGCGCGGCTTATATTATGCCTTTTTTTTCTTAATACACGTAATCATCCGTTTTAAATTTTAGTTCTGAAAAGATGACTACGTATACCCTTTCGACCCATTTTCGACCATTTTCGAAATTTAACTAAATATATTTTCTTGTAGATCTGGGGCCGCAGAAGTCACTTCCAGCCTCATTTCTTCGATAACCCCAAACGATTTTCCACAATCGCCTACTGAATAATCACAACTTTTAAAAATTTCAAAAAACCCGAATTTCACTTCGAAATTTTCGAAAATATTGCTCGGTGACCCTAAACACGTTATATTTTTGGAATCAGCACGACTTACGACGGGTAAAAAAAAATCATCACGATTGAGATAGGGTGGGTGGGCGGGGCTTTTTTTAAATACGTAGTCATTTGTTTTAAATTATTTTTATTATCTGTATATACTGAAAGGAAAATCAGCATTTCAAATAACGAATTAGTTTTTATAATTGTTCCAATCACTGCTTACCGCAATGCAACAGAAGAGAGACCATACGGTGGTAGACCATTAGTCGTACAGGATATCTTTAACGGCACCTACGGACCTGCATGTGTTTCCAACTGATCGTTAAAACAGTCGGACGTATGTTATACATGTTCTACTATAAACCTTTGTCCCATTTGAGCCATATATTTATTGCAGTTGGGCGAATATTCCGCAAAACCAATACAAATCCACATCTTTGTATCCGAAACCGAATATTTTAATGAAATAAAAAAAATCTTTCAGATTTTTAAACTTTTAAGAAATCACCTCTCACGCCATTCCATAACTTAATAAACAGATAACTAAGTTAGAAAACATTGTAACACATTAATCGCGGCGCTGTTTAACAAATTAACAACGTCCGGGTGATGAGTGAGTTAACTAAGTTATTTAATAGCAACAAAAGAATACTATTTACTATATTGTTAGGTCATTTGAAAAATTTACTTCACTAAACATTAGAAAAAAATTGAAATTGACAGTCTCTAGAAGAAATTGAATAATTATCAAAATGGAATGCAATTCAATTCATTTCAACTGACATTTAATTGGTTATAAGTAAAGATAAATCAAGAAATCTATTTTAATTCTAATTAAATTTTTACTGCAATGGTAATCTAAATCTTATGATTTGCGAATATGATTTATGCTTTGATCAAAATAGATTTATTGTGTTATTGTGAGCAAAAGTTCCACATCATGACCAAAAATAGATTCTGATGGTTACTATAAATATATAGGTGTGTCACAAATAGCCTCTTACTATTCTCAACAATATTTTAATTTGTGTCCTGCATAAAATCAAGTATCGAAGAATCCGGCGTAGGAACAAAAGTGAAAACTGACTAACTCTGAAAGCAGTATTCTCGAAGACATATATAGAATAAAAAAAATTGTATCTATTTTGATCCATTCATCTATCTAATAACTCGAACTCAGAAACAGCGAAAATGTATTTAATGTTTTCACCTTTTTCTGTTGCTTCGGTATGATGCTAGCAGTTTGCGGCATGCGCGATATATTGAGTATGTGTTCCCCAGTCATCATGTACGCTTCAAATTTGGGTTTCCCCTTTGTCTTCTCGGTAGCTGCCAGAGGTTCCCACTGCAGTCTCTCGTTCTCCTCGTTGTCGTGCTCGAGCAATGGTTCCTGTTCTGGACAGCTGCCGTTCGTCCGGACATGGCTCTGGTGTACCGCTGGTCCCGGTCTGATGGTACGTGAAGTGGGCGCACCAACACCCAGAGAATTGATATGGCCTGCATACCAAAGAACTCTTGCAAATTGCATCTATTTTTTTTTTTAATTTTAAAATTTAGATTCTTGCGTTTTTCGTACCTGCGCTCCTGTTGCGATTTTCGGCGTCGCCGCCACTGACTGAGAGGAGGTGCTTGCGAACAGTCGCTTTGATCTTCGGATCTTTCCGGAAAAACAGAAAAGTGTTAGTGAGAGGTCGTGGTCGTACGGTGAAAGTCCGAAGAAAAACGATCGATTAATGTAAAAATGGGATCTTACCACGTTTTATTTTTAGTGTTACGGGATCTGATGATAATCGTAGGCATTTTAAAACTGAAAAGCAAAATTTTGCGTTAATAAATTAACACAAGCTATGCGTGAGGTGAGTAAGGTTAAACAAGACATTTTGTGTAAGGAGACAGTGACGGCGCGTGGGGCTGGAAAATGGGGCTTTGGTTACGGAGAAAACAAAGTTTTCCCAAGCTTTTACAATTAATAAAATCATTGATAATTATTGATTAAATGTTTTACTAATAAAGAAAAACCTGAATGATTTTTTTCGTATTTTATTAGACACTTAAATTATACAGGGTGTTTCGGGAAATGTGAGCCAAATTTCGGATGCAAATTCTGTCGTTAATATTGAACGAAAATTTAAATAACAAGTTTCTAAAAATTATTTCTTTTCTCACTTACCTTCAAAATCAACTTGGGACATTCTAATTTAATTCTTTAACGAATTATATAGCATATTTTAGGGCGATAAGTCTTTATTTTTTCACTATTTAACCACCAAATGATATTGCTGTTCTTCTATCGGCCGATCAAAAAATAAAAAGAGGAAAATGATCATAAATACATTTTTAATATCAATAATTACATATATACCGTTCAGAATGTTTTTAGGCAAAAGTTAGCAACAAAGTTGTTCAATGTAAGGTTAGAAAATCGGACAAGTGAATGTCAGTCGCATGCACTGACAGACAAACCGTTTTGTCAATGAACTGTATATTATTGTGTAATTTGTTTATTTTCGGATCAGGATACATGAATTAAATGTTAGTTATAATTAAGATAAGATATATTTACAGGCGATTTACATAATTTAAAAACTATGTATGTACAGCTTAAAACAGCGTGTTAACTCGAGTCTTTTTTGCGGAAAAGTACTGAATATAATTTAGTTTTATCAGTGAATTAGAGCCAACCCTGAATAAAAATGTTTGTAAAGAGTACAGCATTTTAGTGATTAACGTCCCTCCGCCCCTGCTTCACCGCCGCCACTGTCCCAGTAATGAGAAAATGCAAAAACGGAACCAAGAAAACTTATTCACAAATCTCCCTTACCTTCCTTCGTGCTGAAACGGTTCACATCTGTTTCATTAACTTTCAGGATCACATCCCCCACTTCCACCTGGAAAAATAAGAGCTTTCTCAAATACAATCTGACATTGACATTAAAAATGTAGGACTTGGAGCCCTCCCGCTCGCGATTTCTTCTCAAAAATTAATCCTCCTTTTTGTCAAGAAACCGAGGCAAAAGGAAAAATCAATTTCGACAAATACCCCTCGGCCCCCGGGCGAACAAAGGGATTTTTTGCGGCCGATTTAATAAACAGATAGCCGAGAACCTCGTTAATCTTTAACCGGATCGATATCCCGGTGAAAATTTCGAGTAATTATCTCGACTTTTTAACTTTTAATTTCGAGGGGAAAAATCGAGCGTTAATAATGTCAGACGTGAGGGTAAATAACATCCACCTTTAAGAGGAAACACATTTCTCCCGAGTCGTAAAGACTAGTCATCCAGGAGAAGGACTAATGAAATGAAAGACATTTGTTAGAGTCGACAAACATATTTTATTTCATCCGTGCGACACGAAACTACCGCTTTCAGCAAGTTTTTGGACGAGAATGCAAAATTTCAAGTTACGTTGTAATATGGCAGAGCTTTATAGTGGTTGTAAAATAGTTGTCGTGTTTTCTGATGATGTAGTTGAGTGACATGGGGAATTTATGGGGATGCTTCGAAATTGCGTGTTAGGTCGATGTTATGTAACAGGAAAATGAAACCATTAAGGGCATATTTATGGGATTTATTTAAAAATAATGCACGTTTTTTATGCTCGAAGCTACATTACGTCGGTGCCATTAATGCAAGGAAGTTAATATCCACGTAAACACGGCAAAATTGCCCTTGTTTATGGACAATACTTTGATCTGTCATGTTTCCGTCATAAGCTTTTATTATATTTCTATAGTTACGTGAAATATAATTTTCAGAAAAATTACCACTTAGTTTTTGTTACGTTTTGTACGTTGCTGTATGCTGCGTTTGACAGGAAATCGTGAACGCTTTTCGTTAGCTGCTTTAAAAGTACAAAAATTGCCCCATTCACACGTTGTATATCAAAACTCATTTGAAATTTTGCAACAACGTTTTCAAGGTAAAATTCAGTACGGTTTACGAGTTTGCATGTTATTACGAATTCGTAAGTTACAAATGTATTTCTTCATTAAGCCGCAAACAATATAAAAAAAAAAAATTAACCTAACAAGTTCACCAGCAAAGATGAGTTAATTTTATATAATAACCAGAGTCAGGCACAGCTGAAGTGATGGGCAATCAACCACATAAATATTGAAAACGACGGCGCGAAATACTTCAGTTTTTCAGTTTACCAACTTTTGAACTTTTCAATTTTTAAATTTGAGCTTCTCGAGTTTTCAATTTTTTAATTTTTCGATTTTTAATTTTTCGATTTTTAAGTTTCTCGATTTTTGGTTTTTCAATGTTTCAATTTTTCCCGATTTTGAAGTTTATCGATTTTCCAATTTTTCGAATCAAAGAACTGGAAAAATTGCAAAATTGTAAAATTGAAAAATCAAAAATGAAAAAAGGGAAAGGAATAAAATGAAAACTTTGAAAAATCTAAAAATTGAAAATCAAGAACTTGATAAAATTCGAAAAAACGAATGATTACAAAATAGAAATACTGAAAATTAAAAAATTTAAAAATTGAAACTCGAGGAATTGAAAAATCAACGATTGAAAATTTGAAGAATTGAATAAACGAAAAATTATATCATCTACAGAAATATTGAAATAATAAATAAACGAAAAAAACTATAAAATCGAGAAAATGAAAAGTAAAAAATCGGAAAAATGTAAAATAAAAATGAAGAACTTTAAAACATAAGGAAACGAAAAATTGAAAAATAGAAAAATCAAAAATTGGGAAACTGAAAAATCGAAAAATGAAAAAAAAAATTGCAATATTAAAAAATTGCAAATCGAATAATTGAAAAATTTGGAAATCGAGAAATTGGAAAATTGCAGAAATGAAAAACTGAAAACTCGAAGAAATAAAAATTGAGAAATTTAAAAATCGAAAAAACGAATTATTACAAAATCGAAATACTGAAAATTGAAGAAATCGGAAAATCGGATAATTAAAAAATCCAAACGTTGCAAAATCAAAAAATGTAAAAACTGAAACTCGAGGAACAGAAAAATCAAAGATTCAAAATTTAAAGAATTGAATAAACGAAAAATTATATTATCTAAAGGAACATTGAAATAATAAAGAAACGAAAAAAAATATATATAAAATCGAGAAAATGAAAATTGAAAAATCGGAAAAATGTAAAATAAAAATGCAGAACTTGAAAACTCAAGAAACGAAAAATTGAAAAATAGAAAAATCAAAAATTAAGAAACTGAAAAATCGAAAAATGAAGAAAAAACCTCTAATATCGAAAAATTGAAAATTTTGGAAATCGAGAAATTGAAAAATTGAAGAAATGAAAAATTGAAAACTCGAAAGATTAAAAATTGAGAAACTTAAAAATCGGAAAAACGAATTATTACAAAATCGAAATACTGAAAATTAAAGAAATCGGAAAATCGGATAATTGAGAAATCCAAACGTTGCAAAATCAAAAAATTTAAAAACTGAAACTCGAGTAATTGAAAAATCCAAAGATTGAAAATTTGAAGAATTGAATAAACGAAAAATTATATTATCGAAAGAAACATTGAAATAATAAAGCAACGAACAAAAAAATATTAAAATGAAAATTAAAAAATCGTAAAAATGTAAAATAAAAATGAAGAACTTGAAACCTTAAGGAAACGAAAAATTGAAAAATACAAAAATCAAAAATTAGGAAACTGAAAAATCGAAAAAAAAAGTAATATCGAGGAAACGGAATATTGAAAAATATAAAAATCAAAAATTAGGAAACTGAAAAATCGAAAAAAAAAAAATGTAATATCAAAAAATTGCAGTATAAAAAAATTGCAAATCGAAAAATTGAAAAATTTGGAAATCGAGAAATTGAAAAATTGAAAACTCGAAAGATTGAAATTTTGAGGAATTGAATAAACGAAAAACAAAAAATTGTGATATAAAATCGAAAAAATGAAAATTAAAAAATCGAAAAAATGTAACATAAAAATGAAGAACTCGAAAACTTGAGGAAACGAAAAATTGAAAAATAGAAAAATCAAAAATTAAGAAACTGAAAAATCGAAAAATGAAAAAAAAACCTCTAATATCGAAAAATTGCAAATCGAAAAATTGAAAAATTTGGAAATCGAGAAATTGAAACATTGAAGAAATGAAAAACTGAAAACTCGAAGGAATAAAAATTGAGAAATTTAAAAATCGATAAAACGAATTATTACAAAATCGAAATACTGAAAATTGAAGAAATCGGAAAATCGGATATTTGAAAAATCCAAACGTTGCTAAATCAAAAAATTTAAAAACAAACTCGAGGAATTGAAAAATCAAAGATTGAAAATTTGAAGAATTGAATAAAAGAAAAATTATATTATCTAAAGGAACATTGAAATAATAAAGAAACGAACAAAAAAGTATTAAAATGGAAATTAAAAAATTGGAAAAATGTAAAATAAAAATGAAGAACTTGAAACCTTAAGGAAACGAAAAATTGAACAATATAAAAATAAAAAATTAGGAAACTGAAAAATCGAAAAAAAAAATGTAATATCGAGGAAACGGAATATTGAAAAATATAAAAATCAAAAATTAGGAACCTGAAAAATCGAAAAAAAAATGTAATATCGAAAAATTGCAGTATAAAAAATTTGCAAATCGAAAAATTGAAAAATTTGGAAATCGAGAAATTGAAAAATTGATAACTCGAAAGATTGAAAATTTGAAGAATTGAATAAACGAAAAAACAAAAAATTGTGATATAAAATCGAGAAAATGAAAAATAAAAAATCGGAAAAATGTAAAATAAAAATGAAGAACTTGAAATCTTAAGGAAACGAAAAGTTGAAAAATATAAAAATCAAAAATTAGGAAACTGAAAAATCGAAAAATAAAAAGACTAATATCGAAAAATTACAGCATTAAAAAATTGCGAATCGAAAAATTGAAAAATTTGGAAATCGAGAAATTGAAAAATTAAAGAAATCGGAAAATCGGATAGGTAATTGTAAGTAGTCATAATTTTTTGCATATTTCAATTTTTTGTAAGATGAACGAATAAATTTTCATTAACAATTTACCATGCTTACGATGACATTGAAAATAAAAACAAATTTACTATTTTATAGATAATAATGTTTCGTAACGTAGTAAATAGATTCTTCCACATTCCAGCAAAAAAAAAGCGATTCTTAGAGTTTTTATGTATTTAAATGATTTGTACAAGAATTTTACATTACATTACGACATCATAGGCCTTCTGTCGTCTCTGGTTTTAAAGACGCCATGAAATTCATGTTTCTACTTGCAATGAGTGATATTAGATGACATAATTAGTGTACAACATCTGACACAGATATAAATATTTTTTTAATTCAAGTATGTGACTAGCATTGATTTACTATGTTATCTCTTTGCTATTTATATCTTCAATCCTTTTTTTTTCGTGGTGTCAGCTACGTGGCATAAATATGAATAACCACATTACATACATACGTTGCGAAAGACTCATCCACAACTGAGGGATATTTTACATAGTTTCTAGAAATTTGGCAGATCATGGAAATGAGGGCCTTGGGTTTGTAAATTTAATATTAACAACGTTAAGACGCTTTTTCTCTATTAAATTAAAAATAAAAATGCACCCGTTACTTAAAATCTCATTACCCCAGATCATCCCCACCCTCGGCAAAACATACCACGAATATGAGATTAGAAATCCACCCCCAATTTATCCCCAATCCGCACAATCCATTCAGCGGTGAATTCAGATGTTAGTACAAGTGTTATAGCATCGAACGCTTTTTAATTGGTGCGATAAATTGTAAACGTCATCGCAAATGAAATTTTCCCATAATAAATGATTTTAACATTTAATAAATTCGTTTTACCCGCGGGGTGGCAACGACATTAAACGCCGTTTCTCGAAACTGATGTTTATCATCAGTTT